GCCTCAGCCACTGCGAGAAAATTATGCACGCCCTCAATGTACTCGGAGGTGCGTCTGTTACCGTACATCCGTTCCGGCTCATCTGCGTGCATTATATATAATTAAGTGTGTCAAAAACCATTACAGAACATCATGAATAAATAAGTGACCAAATTAATAGAAGTTCATCATCACATTAAAACCAAAGTACATACATAGTTCTCATTGAACAACATATAGCTCTCCAGAGCATATAATTAAACCATACATTGAAACTATGTAAAACATTTCAATGCAACAACAAATGCGATCATAATCGTAACTAAGGTAACAATTGATCCAATGGCATAATGATACCAAGCCTCGGTATGAATGGCATATTTTCTAATCTTTCTAATCTTCAAGGGCATTGCATCCATCTTGATCTTGTGATCATCACGACATCCGCAACATGCAACTCTAATATCATCTTCTCCTCCTCAATTTTTTCGGTTTTTCCTTCAAGTAATTGTTTTCTTCTTCAACTAAATTTAACCTCTCGACAATAGGGTCGGTTGGAATTTCCGGTTCACATACCTCCTAGATAAAAAAAATCTATGTCACGTTGGTCGGCATAATTGTCATAAACACTAAATGAACCAAATAGTTATAAAAGATAATATATACCACATCCAAATCATAGACAAGACGAGGACCGATGGAGGCGGATACCAAAACCATCGCACTATATAATAACAAACAATAATAAAAGTAAGAAAATTACACAAGCATCTATCTAAATCATACATGTAAGAACTTTTTTCTTTTAGAAAGAAGAAAAGATCAAGAGGCTCACCACAGTGGTGCCGGTGACGAGATCAGCACGGGCAATCGACGGCGGTGAGGATGGGGACGGGACAGGACGGACCGTCAAACCTAGACAAATCTCGAGGAAAATGGAGCTTGGACATGGAGCTTCGAGAGGAGAAAGCTTAAGTGTGGCTCGGGCATTTCATCGAACACCTCATGTGCATAGGAGGTGAGCTAGAGCACCACAAAACTCTCCAACGGCCGGCCAGAAAAATAGAGCACTCTCCACTGCTCTGCTCACGGGCGAGGGGGTATATATAGGCATCTCATTGGTCCCGCTTTGTGGCAGAAACCGGGACTAAAGGCCCCCCTTTAGTCCCGGTTCTATCCACAAACCGGGACCAATGGTTGTGGGCCAGGAGCGAGGCCCATTGGTCCCAGTTCGTGTCTGGAACCGGGACCAAAGGGTCCAGACGAACTAGGACCAATGCCGCACGAGGCCCGGCCGCCCCCCTGGCCTCACGAACTGGGACCTACGCCCCCATGGGCCCCAGTTCGTGACTGAACCGGGACTAATGGGCTGGCCCGGCCTGAACCAAAGCCCTATTTTCTACTAGTGAACTAGGTATGGAGATACCGACGATCGAATCTCAAAGGGAACTGCATACGAGATTAGCTGAATCCTTGACATCGTGGTTCGACCGATAAAGTTCTCCATAGAATATGCAGGAGCCAATATGGGCGTCCAGGTCCCGCTGTTGGTTATTGACCCTAGAGGTGTCTCGTCATGTCCGTATAGTTCTCGAACCCGCAGGGTCTACAAACTAAACGTTTGGTGACGATCTGAGTATAGTTCAATTATTATGTTGGTGAGAAAAGATTGTCCGGAGTCCTGGATGAGATCCCGGACATGTCGAGGAACTCTGGAATGGTCCGGATGTGAAGATTGATATATATGATGAAGGCAATTGGATTCCGAAAGTGTTCCGGGAGGTACCGGGTTATCGCCGGAAGGCCGAAAAGGGATTTAGGGGGGCCCGACAAGTGTTGGGAGCCTCATGGGCCAAGGAAAAGGGGGCACACCAGCCCACGAGGGGTTCTGCATCACCCCAAACCCTAGCCCACTCGGCCAAGAGGATGGGGCGCTCCCTAGGGCCGATGCCCCACTTTTCTAGGGAGGCAAGGCACCTAGGGGCGCCACCCAAACCCTAGGGCCCCTCCCCTTGGTGGCCGCCGCCCCCACCTAGGGGGAAACCCTAGGGCGCCCCACCCCTCCTCCCTTTCCCCTATATATAGAAGTAGAGAGGGAGGGCATCCTCACCCATCATTGCCACGGCCCTACCCTTCCTCTCCCTCATAGCTCCTCTCCTCCACTATGCTTGGTGATGCCCTGCTGAGATTTCTCCATCGCGACCGCCGCCACGCCGTCATGCTACCGGAAACTCGAGATACTACTTCATCCTTGCTCGATGGATCAATTAGGCGAAGGCGTCATCAAGCTATACGTGTGTTGAACGCGGAGTTGTCGTCCGTTCGGTACTTTATCGGGAGTTCGTGGATGGATCGTGATTGGATCGCGAAGACGTTCGACTACATCAACTGCATTTCTTAACGCTTCCGCTTAGCGATCAACAAGGGTATGCAGATCCAATCTCTCCTCTCGTAGATGGTCATCTCCTATATTGATCTTGGTGAGCGTAGGAAAAAAATTGTTTTTCATGCAGCGTTCCCCGACAGGGAATACTTGTCAAACAAGATTTTATGAATGTAAGCCTAGCAGCATAAGAAAGAAGCTCCCCACTCCAACTTGCAATTATTTTTAGAATCTTGTCCACTAGATGTTGGATATCCTCCCTAGAAAGGTTGTCAAAGTGAAGGGGGGTTCCTAGGTATTTAATGGGAAATTTACCTACAGGACACCCAAAAATAGCAGTGAAGGGAGTCTATCTCACCCTCATCAAGGTTCACAGGAATCATTTCACTTTTCAGGTAATTGGTTTTCATCCCATAGACTTGTTCAAAACAAGTCAACACCCATTTGAGATTAGTAGCCATAGATGGATCACCATCAACAAATAGGATAGTGTCATCAGCATATTGGAGGCTGACGATACGTCCAACACAAAGCTCAGATCCTAGACCTTTGATGAGATGCCTATTAGTAGCTTTCACAAGCATCCTATTTGCTAATAAGGAATAAATGACTCTCTATATTGTTAATTTTGACACCCATAGATCTTTTGTGAGTGATCAGGTCTAACCAATGCACCCACTTATCATTAAACCATCTAATCTTAAGCAAGTTGTGGAGGAAGTCCAGATCTACTCTATCAAATGCTTTTTCATAGTCAAGTTGCAAAACTACCCCAACAGGGAGTAAGAGATAACTCATTTTACATGTATTTTTAGTGTCATCACTAAGTATCAAGATTGGATTAAGACAAAGACGTATCAACAACCACCTCACATGTCACCACCAAAAACCGCCAGCTCACCATGTAAAACCAATTCCATTGTTTTTTTTTCGAAACGGAGGCAAACATTGCCTCATCTATTAATTAAGCAGAAGAGAATTGCCCAGTTAATTACGGAAAACCGGGCGAAAACCGGAACAACAAGGGCCAAGCCCACACCCAAAGACTGAAACACACAGGGCAAAGCCCACCCTAATCGACGACATGTCGACCTACGGCCAGACAACGCAGCTCCGACTCTGACGGAGAACTCAGAGGAACAAAACCAGGCACGGCTGGCGCCACGGAAGATCATCGAACGGACCACCTGCAGCCAGTCATCGTACACCACAGGGCCCTGCCACCGCAGCTTCGACTCCTTAGCAACAAACAAACCGAGGCAATACCATGAACACGCCGGAGAAGAGCCGACTATCACAACCATTGCCGCGTTGTCGACATCGCTCCCACCATCATCGTTGCCACAGAAGTTTGGTCGCCACAGTGATTCTCTCGGGGCCGTCGCCCCGACATCCACCGCTCCGTTGCGCCCAGCGCAATCAACCGGCACCGCCTTCCGGGGCCGCCGCCCCGACATACCACCGCTCCCCCAAAGCAGCAACGCCGCACAACCCAGCTGCCCGCAGCCCATGCTGCTCAGGGCAACCGCTCACAGACCACAAACGTCGCACCACATCCGGGGCCGCCGCCCCGACGTGAAGTCGGATCGCCCCCTCTGGAGCGCATCGACCGAGCCGACACTCCTACCGCCCAAGCGGGACAAGGATGCCACCCAACCAATGCCGAGATAGAGCCCCGCCACATAGAGCTGCCACTCACATTGTTCCCGAGATCGCCATCTCGGCGCACAATCCGAAGCCGCCGCTCCGACGTCCACTGTCCCCGACGACGAAGAGATCCATGCAAACTGCAGTATGTTGACTCTCCAAGGCAATGCCTCAAAGAAGGAAACGACGTAGCCGCCGTCATCGCCCGCTTCGACCATCCGAAGCTAGGGATTTCTCCCGGAGAGTCGTGCAATTGAGCTCCACGGCAACGCCTTCAAGAAGGGGAGCGGCGCCATGGCGCCGCCGTTGCCGGTATCGACCCAAAGTCAGTGCTGGACTTTCGCCCGAAGCTCCTCCACACCTCCGAATCCAAGCAGATCCGAAGCACCGCATAGCACACAATCCACATTGTCGACGTCCACCGGCTCCACCTCGTGGAGCAGCTGCCGCCGCACCTCTCAACCGCGCCGGAAGCCAACGCATGCACCGCTGCACCGCCCAAGGCCCGCTCCCACCAGCCACCACCGGCGCGCAACCGCCTGACCATCACCCAAGCCGCAGCCCGCCTCGCAAGGAGGCTCGCTGGCGAGCTCGTCCCGGGGCCGCCGCCCCGGCCTCCTCTTGCAGCCCCGGCGCGCGAGACCACCGCCGCGCCGCCCCACTCCGCGCACCGCCGGAGCCTCTGCAGCTCGCGCCGGAGTCGCGCCCGCGCGCCCGCCCAAACCCGCCGCGCCTTCGCGCCAGATGCGCCCCTGCGCGTCGCAGAAAGAAGCCCCGCCGCCACCCTCCCTGGATCCAGACCGGGCTTCGCCGGCGGCCTCCTCAGGAGGCGGCGAGGTGAGGGGGTGGAGGGGGGTGGGACGGTGGCGGCGCCGGAGGGGATCCCCCCGTGTCGCCAGACAGAGGCGACGCGGGGGTAGGCCTGGAGGAGTATATACCAATTCCATTGTAAATCATTCATAGGTGTAGCATATCTCTTAGGCACGCAAGTCTAGCAGTTGCGGTTGCATGTGGACACGATGGGCGGCATGGCAAACGGGCCGTCAAGCATCCCGTGGGCCATGATCTTGTATGTTGCCTCCGTCAAGTGTACACCATCCCATGACACGTACCTCGACGGGTCCGGGCACCGCACCACCCCCCTCCCAGGAACGAAGACGGGGTAGCACGCATCCAGCACCGTCTCCGCAGCGAACCCATTCTCCACCGGCTTGGTGACGAGGCTGAGGATCTCCTCATAGTAGTCGACGTAAGTGATGGAAACGCCCGGATGGTTGCGGCGGAGCTCGTCGAGCTGGGATTTCAACATGTGGTTGTGGAGGAGGGTGAGGTCATTGAGCCACCGGAGGCAGCCTGTGGCGGGGTCGCGGTCGTCGCTGGGGAAGATGCCGAGGAACAGCGGGGTGCACCCCATGGGGAAGATGCCTGGCACGTACATGGTCTTGGCGCCCAGCTCGATTAGAGCCTCGATGGACAGAGCGATGGACCTGATGATCCGGGGCACGAGGGGCCTGACCCATTCGAGCGTCTTGTTCTGGAACAAGGGTTGGATGTAGTCGTTGGCGCCAATCTCCCCCACCAGGAACAGCGAGCTCGCCATTGCCGCCTTCCTCTCTGCTTGATCGTAATATGCATGGTCAGTGCGTTGCGCAGCCATGGCGCCATGCATGCATTATTTTTTGTCCTACACATTACCTTGGTCCGTGGAGCCGAGCACGGCGAGAACTTTCTTGAACAACCCGATCTGGACGTCGAGGGAGTAGGGGGGCATCAGGTCAACACGGAGGTGCTTCTTCCTGAAGAAATCCTGGCTCAACGCCGTGGCCGAGGCCACAGCGAAATTCACGCCGTACCGGAACTCCTCTGCCAGCGACTTCCCGGCCGCCGCCTGCAGGTACGCTGGCCAGTACGGGAAACCCAGCCTCTCCACTGCAGGTACGCCGTATCATGCATCATGCATATATTCATAGTAAGTACGTACTAAGACGGGCAGTGATTAAGAACGCTGTGTACACATCATCGTCGTCGTCGCCAAAGCACACTTACCGATGAAGTCCACGATGAGGCGGCCGTCGGACCAGCGGCCGGTGGGCCGGCCGAAGAAGGTCTCGCCGTATGGCAACTCCACGACTGGACCCGGTGCGGCGGAGAAGTGCACGATGTAGTTGCCTGTGTCGATCAGAGAGTCACCGAAGCTGAATAGATGCTTGTAGCAGCTGCTCTGGTTGGCCGGCGCAGGCGACGCCGCGACGGCCACGGACAGGACAAGAAGAACGACCGCCCATGAAATCATGGTGGATGGATGGAAAGTAACTGTTTCGACCTCACTAAGTTCCGTCTTGATGCCCGGGCTTGTAGCTAGCTTTTATGATGAGGCAGATCGTGGCTGACTGTCTATCCCGCGGCTCTAACATACAGTATTTAAGTCGGGCAGGCCGGATAAGCTTAGGCGACGTGTGTACGTGCGTCGCCGATGACGCAAAATGGAACTCGTGGCAATGGTCCAACAAGATTTTAATCCGAGGAATTTGGTCGATCGATGATGGCGCAATTGACTTATGCCTAGGGGAGAGTATACCGTGGGTTTACTTGTCAAACAAACCAAACACTACGTCACGGACGTATTGTAGATAAGTCAGCCAAAACATTCTTTATAGCTTTATATATAATGGAAACGTTTCCATCCGGCGCGCCGGACGCGCGGGCCACGCGATCCTGCTGGATCGATTGACCAGGAAGACTACACACTCATACATTTTTTCTGGCCCACACATTGTACGACGCATTTTTTTCTTATCTTTTCTCTGTAGCTCCATCCTTCACTCGTTCCTCCCTCTTTTCTTTCCCAGCTAGAGCACAGCTCCATGGCTACCCCAAGTGCTATTATGAGGGGCGTTCTCCGGCTTGGCCCTCCCCCCTCTCTCTCTACCTCTACCTTTGAAGCTGCTAC